AAGTAAGTTCTATGTAATACATATATCAAGTTATTACATAGAACTCAGCTTTCTTTATGTTCTCATGTTAATTACCCAAATCAACAAAGTAAGCAATTGCCCCTTCTAAACTGCAGTTTTCTCCTTCCCTTTTTCCATAGAACCAAAGAATTAAAAACATTTTCAACTAAATATGTTACTTACCAGTTAAGTGTATAATAAAATCTAGTACATGAACAGTTTAAATCAAATGTTGCAGTTAAAATCAATAACCAAACAGTGATTTTACAAATTATAATATGAAAAATAAGTCTTATTTAAACCAAACCCTAACATAAAAGGAGCACTGCAATTAATATAACACTTTTTGTTTATGAACTATGCACGTAACATAGGTTTCATGGATTTACAAGGAAATGTCCCACAGAAGGGTTTTAGTGATGATATAAGTCACGACAGCTCAATTTAAAGGTATGCATACTGTAAAGGTATGCATACTGTAAAACCTAGAATCATTTTAATTGCATTCTCTTTCCATCCAATAAGGTGTTTGTAGAATAAACTGCTAAGCTATCTCAATACTTCTTTCAGGAAGCAGAGTTGACAACCTTGTAAAACTTTTATATTTTCTTGTGAAGTTATAGTCAAGTATAGTTTTTCTCTTTGAGAACAAATATGGTTAAAGGCAGTATAAGCTATAAATCCTAGCAGATAGGTGACTGTCCATTCCATGGGAAAATTTAAGATGCAGTCAGGTAGGCTGACTGGTGTCTTTCCACAGTGGTAAAGGCATCAGCTCTCCCTGCTGATACAGTTTTCAGTAAAGCAGTGGTGTCCGACTTGAGGCTCCACTGATGGACCTTGAGGCTCTAAACTAGTAGTCACCAAACTTTTCACGGTTATGCCCCCCGCCCTTACCTCTGTCCATACCCATGGGAGCTGGGGCCAGAAGTGAGGCCGTGGCTCCTGGGGGGCAGGCATGGACAGGCAAGGCCATAGCTGGGGGCAGGGCCGGGAAAGAAGCTGCAGCCAGGGATGGGACTGGAGTAGAGCCACGGCCGGGTACCAAGGCTGGGTCCGGGACCTGGAGTGGAGCAGCAGCCGGGGGGTATGGCTGGGGGCTGAGCTGAGGGTAGGAGTGGAGCTTTGGCCAGGGGCCAAGGCTGGGGCCGTGGCTGGAAGCCATGGCTGTGCCACAGTCAGGGGACAAAGCTGGGGGCAGGGCTGGGGCTTGGAGTAGAGCCATGGCTGGGAGTGGGTCTGGAGCAGAGCTGGGGGCAGAGGGGGCCTGGGTGGCATTCCCTTCCTGCCCCACCTGGGGGTTGGCCCAGGTCCTGCCATGCTCCCTCAAACGTTGGTCCATGCCCCCCTAGAGGGACACTCCCCATAGTTTGGGGACCACTGCTCTGAACAGTGGTCTTCAAGGAGAACTGTATTAGAAAGAAAACTTGTATTTGGTTAGGATTAGGAAATGTTTCCTGAGCCATACCATGTGATTTTTAACTGATATGTTTGAATCAGCCCCATCAATAAGTGGAGGAGGTGGTATTATTTTTTTCATTATTATTTGTATTGAGGTAGTGCCACCACTTCTTCTGCAATCTCATGAGCCACAATGGTGTGATCTGAGAATGCTGTAAGCAGCTGCTCTCCCTTCGCTGCTGCATCTGCTCAGCTGGTCAGCTTCTGGGAGGGAGGAGAGGGAAGTTTTGATTGCTCTATTGCCTGTCTCTCTGGTGGGCTGTGGGAGCCCCAGGAAGAGCAGGATAAGAGCTTGACTGGCTCTTCCTGAGCCTAGGGGAAAAGTTAAAGCATAGATTGTGACTCCTTGACCTTTTTGAAATAATAGGATCAGCCCTCAGATGGAAAAGTTTGAGCACCACTGAGCTGAGGGTGTCAAATTTGCAGCTGAACTGTGCTTGGCCGTTTCTCTTTGAAGTCTGGTCCTGAAGTTTTTTTGCTGCAGGATGGCTACCTTTAAATCTGCTATTGTGTGTCCAGGGAGATTGAAGTGTTCTCCTACAGGTTTTTGTATATTGCCATTCCTGATATCTGACTTGTGTCCATTTATCCTTTTACGTAGGGACTGTCCAGTTTGGCCGATGTACATAGCAGAAAGGCATTGCTGGCATATGATGGCGTATACTACATTAGTGGACATGCAGGTGAATGAACCGGTGATGGTGTGGCTGATCTGGTAAACTGTGATGGTGTCGCTGGTGTAGATATTTGGGCAGAGTTGGCATCGAGGTTTGTTGCATGAATTGGTTCCAGAGCTAGAGTTACTATGGTGCAGTGTGTAGTTACTGGTGAGAATATGCTTCAGGTTGGCGGGTTGTCTGTTGTCGAGGACTGGCCTGCCACCCAAGGCCTGTGAAAGTGAGGGATCGTTGTCCAGGATGGGTTGTAGATCAATGATGATGCGTTGGAGAGGTTTTAGCTGGGGACTGTATGTGATGGCCAGTGGAGTTCTGTTGGATAAATGTGTGCTTTGCTTTAAGAACTGTGATAAAACCTTACCAGCTTAAAGACATTCAACCATTATGTCCCTAACTGGAGTAAGAAGCTAGGATAACTTTTATCAGAAATGATATTCTCTACATAAGTTGTCTTTTACACAGAAGATATAGTTATTCACCAGTAGACAGTATAAGGATTATAACATAGAAGCATAGAAGTGTAGGACTGGAAGGGACCTGGAGAGGTCTTTAGTCCAGTTCCCTGACCTCAAGACAGAACTAAGTATTAACCCATCTTAACATGCAATTCTAAAACTGAACAGGAAAGAAATATACTACTATAACTTCTGATGCCCCCCAAAAATAAAAAATCTCCCATTCAGCAGCAAGGCAGGGAATGTAAGCTTAATTTTGGGAGAAGTGAAAGAAACAAATAAAATATCCTCATAATATGTAACAGCTTGCACCTGGTTATTGTGAAACTCTGTCCTGGGCAGATATCTAAATCATACTTTATTTACATTTTGGCACCTTCTGTATCCTTATTATGCTAATAAAATCACTATTGTTTATATTTGGTAATTCTAAAAGGCCCCATTGTGTTACGTACTGTACTAATACTAGAAAGAGGGTCCTTGCCTTAAAAGTTTACAATCTGGAAGACGCTAGTAAGGATGAAAGAAAAGCATAAAACATATCAGCAAGTGGTCAGGATGACAGGCAGACTTCTGTGGGACTTTTGCTTAAAAATGGATGGGATGATATGGTATTTGCATTTCACCACTAATCGAAGGCTATCAAAACACTTTTGGGGATTATTTTATTCTCTCCATACAAAACAACTGACTTCTGGCAAAAAAATAAAAATAAATAAAGGATATATAAAAGTAGTTGTCATTGCTCTTATAATCTATGAAAGTCATACAAAAGTTTCAGAATCAGAAAGGAAGAAATAGTATCTATAAAATAGTTAACCCATGATATAAAAGATCCATGTTACACATTCACATCTGGTGAAAGAAAGATTTTACACCTCGTTTATAGTAGATACAGAGAACTGTTCTCACTTTGGGGCTATTTTTTACATTCTTTACCTCACATATATAGTTGCATGCTATATAGTCCTGTTTCTGTGGAATGAACATTTGATCCAGTTTAGTTCTCACCATTGATACTCTGAAAAAGTGAAGTGTCTTACATAAACTTTGTTGCTTTACCCTTATAAATAGTGGGGCAGACTCTCAGCTGGTGTAAATTGTCATATCTGAATTGAAGTCAGTAATTGAAGTAATTAAACAAGACTGTGAATGGCTAGCCAACTACAAAAGCAGTTTCTCCTCCCTTGGTGTTCACACCTCAACTGCTAGAAGAGGGCCTCATCCTCCCTGATTGAACGAACCTCGTTATCTCTAGCCTGACTCACTCTTGCTTGCATATTTATACCTGCCTCTGGAAATTTCCACTACATGCATCTGACAAAGTGGCTATTCACCCACGAAAGCTCATGCTCCAATACATCTGTTAGTCTATAAGGTACCACAGGACTCTTTGCTGCATTTCTTATGCAGAGCTACATAAATGTTATTTTGAAGTTTTAGAAACAAAGCTGTTTTTGAGTTATCCAAACACAAGTGACTGAAAAATTATTTAAGTGAAAAATTCTTTTTAGAAGTTCCCTTGGTACCTCACAATCAGTTGAAGAAAGAAACAAAGTTGAATAATATGAAAAATATATTTCCCTTTTAACAGAGGAGTGTGGGCCCATACCTAACGTTTGAGAGGTTCTTCCTCTCCCAAACAAATAACTCCTGTGTCTGTATCCTCCAAACTCTAGCAGCAGTGAGTCCATACCCTTCAATATTGTTTATTTGTACTACTGGACCAGGACCCCATTGTGCTAGGCACTGTAGAAACAGAACAAAATGATAGTGCCTGTTCCAAAGAGCTTTCAATCTAAGTATAAAAGAAGGGACAACAGCTGGATAGAGACAGACTGATAAGGGAGTAGCTCAAGTTTAAGCACCTCATCACTTGGAGAAGTGGGGTACTCTGGTGTTAGATGCCCATTATAATATCTGTGTCAGCACAAACTATTATAAGCAGGGCCATTTCAGGTGACAAATAGGTACCTTGACTCCAGTTAGATAAACTAGATGAGTGGAAATCTGGTAACTATTCCCCTTCAGAAACAGGTCTGGCCCACCCAAAGAGGTTGAGTTAGCCTATATGAAATTGTAAGAGGTAAGGGAGGGTCTGGAAGAGTCCAGGGCACTGGCCATCGGGGATAGTGAGTGGTGTGGCAGGCGGGCAGGCCCCTACCAGAACTGACTCCTGGCCAGGGCAGTAGCAGAGCAGGTGCGTGGGGAGGGTGCTGCAGGTTTGTTGGATGAGGGTTTTTTTGTGTGTGGGGAGCGTTGCCGATTCCCTAGGGAGGCTGTCCCCCTCCCGCGTGGGGGCTGCTTTCGGGTGCCGGCCCGGCGGGGCCCTGCAGGGGGCCGCGTGCCCTGCAGGGGGAGCGAGGCGGGGGAGCGTGAGGGCGGCGGCTCCTAGCCTCGAGGCCTTCGATGGAGCCGGCGGGCAGCGAGGGCGTCCCGGGCTCCTCTGCAGGTGGGTGTCGAGGGGGAGCTGGCTGGCCCCGATGCGGGGTGGCCTGGCCCCGAGGACGCGGAGGGGCCGGCGGGCTGCACCCGATTGCCGCCCTCAGGGGCGGGGCCGGGGCTGATGTCGGGCGGGCCGCGGGCGACGTGCAGGCCTTGCACACCAGCCGCAGGGCCCGTGCGCTCCCTCCTGCTAGCCCGGCTGCCTGGCCCCGGGCGTGGCTGAGCGCTGCCCAGTGCGGGCTCCCGCCTGCTGTCAGCCGGCGCGGCTCTGTCAGGGTTGGCGAGCTGCGCGCATGGCCGGGGTGGGTCTGCCCCTTTGGTGCTGACAGTGCTGGACTCATGGAGGCCGCCCCTCTTGCAGAGGGGATACAACAGAGGTCCCAGTTATGGTCAGTATCAGTAAAGAACCCGTGACATATTTTCATAAGTTTAGGGCCGGTATCCTGTCTGCAAATGGGCCTTCTGCTTGTAGAAATTCTCCTTGCCGTTGCAATTGATAGCTGCAGAGTTGCAGGGCTCTATCTGCTTTTTTGGGGGGACCTTTTTTGCTGAGCGGGTGTAGATACAAATTTTGTATCCACGCAGGGCTCCATCAATTGGGTACAGCATTCATCGCCATGTGTACTGACCTCTTGCTATGAGCTGTTTTTAAATGCCTCTTTTGATCCCCGTAATTGCTCTATTTAGGGTCTAGGCCAATACATTCCTTAAATACCACACAAGGATGTTTAGAGTCCTAATTAATCTCTGTAAATGAAATTCTTGAATGAAAGGTCTTATGGCAGTGCAAAGCATTATAGATCATAGACATTCAGACATTTTTAGTTCTGGTTTCTAAAAAAAGTTGTGTATTCTTGGCCTGTTTGCATGCTATAGGTAAATCTGCAGCCCAGGCCTCATTCTCCATCCCCCTGCACCAGAGTTAAACCTGAGCAATTTGCATCTGATCTCAAGACATCACTATTCCATCTGCCACAACGTACATATTTCCAATAATATCTCCAGCACACCTTCCGGTTATGAATAGTTTGCCGTTGCCATTTTCTGGACTGATTCTAGGCACTGTACAGATTCCCAGCAACCTTTTTCTCTCTCTTCCGATCTCTTCTACAGATACTCCCTCATCTCCAAGCAGTCCCGTTTTACATTTCGTCGAGTTACTGATATATATAAAATGGGTGTAACAGAGTAGAGAATTATGGCCTTAAATTCCGACAAACTGCTTCTAATTGAAAACTCATTAACAGGCATTAATCTGATAGACTTGTAATTACTGCGACATCTCATAAGATTCTTGTTAAAATTTAAACTTTTATAAGCTTGTCGGTGTTCACTTGCATAATTATCTCTACAGCTGCTAATATAATAATGCATAAATAATGGTAGTGTCCACCAGCTTATTTAAAGTTTAAAATGAGAATGCAACAAAGTTCTGTTCCTTGTAACTTCATTAAAACAAAGTTTCTGAACTGAAAATTGGCATGTGTGTTCTATACATAGGAGATAATATCTTCCTGTTCTTGTGTAAAAATGTAAGCCAAGACGTTTGTTATAAATTAGATAAGTACAAAACAATTGGGTTGGAATTTTTATTTACATTTTTTGGTCTTAAACTGCAGCAGTTTTTCTAGAAATGAGACAGTCTTTGATAGTAAAAGGAGTAACAGAGACTAAATGCACTAAATAATTCTATTTTAATATAGTCAAACAATCTGTGTTACATCACAAGTCCGATTAACATTTATGTTAAAGATAAATCAGTATATTGACACTGGGTGGGTTTGACTCTCACTATTTATTATAGGCAGGTCTGGCAAGGGGAAGAACACTAATTGTTTCTTAAGATTAAGGTGAAGATCAAGGCACATGGAAAATTATCTCATGGGAGTGAGAATGGAAAGTGAAGAGACACTTTTTAAAATATTCAAACAGGCATTGCTTGTATTTCAGGAAATAAATCTGGGCAACAGTTTGACACATTTGCTGTTAAGACAGAAAGACAAACTAATATTTGGCATATTTACTGTTTTATTTATTTCTATTACTGTTGTGTCCACAACATGCTAGGCACTCTCCAGACGTATAGTGAGGCACGTCACTCCCCCAAAGAGCTCACAACTGAAGAAAACAAGTGAAGGGGTGGATGGGGAAGATCAGAGACAACATACTATCAATGTTTTTATTATTAAAAAGGAAGAGACAGTTATCCCCAATTGCAGCTCCAGCTGATTTCTTGTAGGTGTTATGGTGGAAGTGATCATAGTAGGGAGGGGTTGAAGGAGAAGAGGTTAAGGGCCTGCCTTGCAGACCAGTTCAGGGAGGGCATTCAGTGTGGAACTGTCTCTTCGAAACAGAGGTCGAAGGGCCAAAGGCTGGCATAATTGATGGGGCAGAAGGGTGGGGACAATCAGAAAAGACACAAAATCAGGTAAGAAAGGAAGCAGACAGTCAAAGGTTTGAAGGTGAAGATGAGAAACTTGAACATGATTTGCTGGAAGATGGGGAATCAATGGAGGGATTCAAATAGGGAGGTGACATAGTGAGGATGATAGGTAAGGAAGAGGTTAATGGGGTTTTGGTCAGTGTATTGATTTGATATTGGAGAAGGAGAAATGCACAGTGATTATCAGTTGCAGGATTGTATCCTTTACTTATGTGAATAATCCTGACGGCTGATCAAAGCAAAGAAAGAGTTTAAGGAGGAATCCTAAAGATCTGCTGTAAGTGGAGTATTTTCTTAAGCATGTGGAGCTTGGTATGTACCACCACATTCTCCTTCTAATATGGCACTGTTCAAACAGAAAGGAGGATATACCGGTAATTTCCCACAGTCCCAAATGGCCTTTATAAACGTAGTCTTTCTTTTTTCATCATTTAAATTCCATAGTGGCACTTTCTGTTTGTATTTTATTCTCTTCTGTTTTACCTTTTCCAGTACTGACTTTCTCCATGTTTATGTGTTCTCCCCCTTTCCTTAGATCTTGACTTCTGCTCACTTCTTCTTTATCTATCAACAGAAACCTTTCACTCTTAATTTTTGTCAGTCCAGATACATTTGCAAAGTTAATTGTAAAATGAACTAAAAAATCATGTTTGAAGTTAATCCTAGAATCAGTAATGTCTGTTACAGTCTTATATTTTATTACGGTGGAGTTATAGTTTATCCAAAGGAAGATTAGCAGCAAGCATGAAACTAGGCACATGATATAGGGCCTGTGTTATATGAACTGTCTTACAAAGCTATGATAAGAAATGTAATTTCACGTCTCCAAACAGAAGGGGTTTTAGGCCATTTCAGGTTTAAAAAAAACTAAAATAAAATTGCTGTTATGCGTTTAGAGAGAGAAATTCTAGAGGGATGTAGACAGGATAGATTAGAAACCTGCACCACTAAGTCATTCTTTAGTTTCTGAAGAGTGAACTTTATGGGACAACGTCCCCGTGTAACTCTGTGTGTGTGGGTTGGTCTACACTGGAGGGGGGGGGGAATCGATCCAAGATATTCAACTTCAGCTACGCGAATAGCGTAGCTGAAGTCGAAGTATCTTGGATTGAATTACCTGGGGTCCAGATGGCGCGGGATCGACGGCCGCGGCTCCCCCGTTGACTGCGGTACCGCCGCTCGCTCTGGTGGAGTTCCGGAGTCGATGGGGAGCGCGGTCGGGGATTGATATCACGTCTTAACGAGATGCGATATATTGATCCCGAATAAATCGATTGCTACCTGCCGATATGGCGGGTAGTGAAGACGTACCCTGTGTGTGTATGTACAGGTGGGGCAGGGGAAATCTGTGGTAATAGTGCATGCCAGATTCAGTAGATATCATTCTAAATGACACAGCAAAGAGCTTGTCATGGGAGATAAAAGGATCACAAAAGGAAGAACAGCTTGTAGGGAGAATATATACATAATTTAAAATTGATCAGAAATCTCAAGCTTACACTAGGATTTTGATATTTGGCCTATTCTAATGGGAATAAAACTGAAAAAAAGAATCCTTTTATCTCTGTAAGGCTCCAGTAGTGCACACAGTCTCCCTTGCCTCAACACATTTAAAGTCTTTTCAGTTATTGAGGGACTTGAAGTCTTGAGTGACTACATATCCTTATATGTAAAATTTGTATGATGTTTCTCTAGTGGGCATGTCACTAAACACAATACGCCAGAGATATGATAGCTAAGAAACCTGTCAGCTAAATCTGATCAAAAAGCGCTAAGCCAAACCTGTCCAAACTGGAGTTAATTCAAGATGTATCATAGAGTTGTAGTAGCAACATTAGTTTTATGGATGAGAAAACATCTTAAAATAGGGGTTTATAAACTTTCTGATGGGAAAAATATCACCTTGAACTAAAATTTTCTCATATAACCTTTCAGTCCAAATGCATGCCCTTTGTGTAAGCGGGGCAAACTAAGGTGGCCCATGCATCTTTACTTCTGTTTCTTTGGTAACTTCTAAATGCTTGATTTTGTAACCTTGACTTTCTTTTTAACAGAGGGGTTCTTTAAAAAAAAAAGTGTGTGTATATAATATTAATTTATGGATTTGTTTTTTTAGTTATTCAAGGTGTAGGTTAAAATGGTCAAAAGAGTGTTATTTTGAAGCCCAAGTCTCATTTTCTATAGGAGTTGCCATGTTGCCACCTAAGTCTTATTGAAAGTCAGTGGCCTTCCTCTCTTTTGAATGTAGAATTTGGGTTCTTATGTCACTTAAGGTATGTCTACACAGCAAGAAAAACCCCATGGCAGTGAATCTCAGAGCCCAGGTCAACTGAGGGCTTGTCTACACTTAAAACACTGCAGCAGCGAAGCTGCAGCGCTTCAGTGTAAACTCTACCTATACCAACCGGAGGGCTTCTCGCCTGAGCAATCAATCTCCATTAGAGGTGGTAGCTAAATTGATGGAAGAATTCTTCCATTGACCTAGTGCTGGCTTACACCAGGGATTAGGTTGGTATAGCTGTGTCTCTTGGGTGTCGATTTTTCACACCCCTGAAAGACGTAGC